AACTAAGCACCCTATTTAACTACTTCAGTGTCCTACAACCAGGATTACATAAGAGCATGTTTCTTCTCTCTTCCTTGTCTCTGTAACTCTAACCTTTCACTGTAATTAGTGGGTTTATACTTAACAGACCTATAGTTTTACTGTCGGTTGTCTCCAGTCCTTTATGAAAATGCATGGACCTAAAATAAAAATAAGTATGTAAACTAAAACTCCTAATTGTGAAGTATCAGACTCACCTCCTTGAACAGAGAGAACTATTTACTACTCCGTTATAATTTAATGTCAGTCGAACCTGACTCGACTCTGCGCATTTAACAACAAGAACAATGTTCATCATAATAGCTCAAGAATATAATACGTAGTAAGTGTGAAGGCAGGGAGGGAAGAAACAGCATTTCCTATGTCAGGTGACGCTTTTGTATACAGATAAAGGGTAAATAGAATGAACAACAACAACAACACTGTTATTGGAGGCAATAAAGGTGTCTACTGCAGGGTTCTGCAAAATTGCAGGCTCTGACAGAAATCCTCAGAAGTCAATAACGCTCGTCTATGTTAAAGTCACATAACCCGAAATGGAGGGATGAAAGAAATGCCGTGAGAGAAGTCCTAAGTGCATGTTCCAGATGGACCTGAATTCTGTCTGCCCTGGGCCTGCTCTTCCCTACATAGGTAGATCCTGGAGATACTGTGGGTTTGGTCACACGATCGTTTGGTTTCCCAGTACAGATGAAAGCTTTGTTGGCCCTGTTCCTCTGCCTCTTAGTGTACAGTTAAGTGTACAGTATTGTTAAGTACCGTTGAGTCGATTCTGACCCATAGCGACCCTGTATAGGGTTTCCAAGTAGCAGCTGGTGAGCTTGAACCACCAACCTTGCAGTTGAAACGATTTTGCAGTCTGACGCATTACCCCACAGTGCCAAGTGTACAGTAGCATTATGAGAAGTTGTAGACGTTGTGAGAATCGCCAAAAGAGGCTACAGACACCGTGAGCACTTGCTCGAAGCAGGCTCGCCCTGTAAAGCACAATACAGTGAGGTGCAGGAAGGCGCTGTGCCCGTGTATTCAGTCTGCTCTTAATGGTGCCTAAGCCTGGAGGTCACCTTAACGTCCCCTGCTCCGTGCCTGTACCTGAAGCTATTCACTAGTCATGTCCTGGTGTAGCACTGTAGGGTAAACACTAGACTGCAGGGTCGGTGGTTCAAACTCACCAGCTGCTCCTCGGAAACCCTACACAGGGTCCCTGTGAGTCAGAACGGATCCAACAGTATTTAACGATAAGAAGTCGCTAGTCACTAACTCCTGACATCAGCTGCTTTTCTATCTAGATTTCTTACATCTTACTTCCCCTGCCTTAAAGTCTGTGTCGTCTCTGCCAGAATTACTAGCTGACACCAGTGATTCATACAACTACATACGGGTCTATTCTACAAGTGAAATGAACAACCTGTTCTTTGTGTTTGTGTTGTTGTTAGTCTTTTTGTTGTTTTGGTAACTTTTTAATCAAAGAAAACTGAATGTTTAAGGGTGTTCAGATAGATGAGACCAGCAGGCTTCCTTACCCTCACAGTACTGACATCTTTGTGGGGTCTGCCCTGTGCATTAGAGGAGATTGGGCAGCACGTCTGGCCTCTGCCCCCGAGATACTAGCATCACCCTGCAGCCCCAGTCACGACAACCAGTAACGTCTCCAGACCTGAGTTCCCGTGAAGCCCACTGGGCTAGGTAGCAGTCATACATACTCACACGGTGGCACGTGTGACCTCCTCCCGTCCTGACGGCAGCTGTAAACGTGCTGCTTTTCTCCTCGTTGTCACATGACCGAGGCTTAGAGAGGTCACACAGTGGCCTAGGCAGAACTGGCACCCAGGAGGGTCCCCTTGAATCCCAGGTAGGTAACTGACACCACTCTGCCCCCTCCCCACCCCCAACCCTGCCAGCTCCCAAGAGCAGTCCCTACCTCCTGGCATCATTACGAGGTGTGAATGAGTGGAGACTGCCATCATCACAACCACTTGCAGTGATAAGTTACTGGGAATACAAAGGTGATGGAGACTGGTCCCCCAGCTGGTTGGAGATGATGTAAACCAGTCATTCTGTTCCACAGAGCACTCTGGGGAGTCAGGGCTCAGCTCACATTTGAGCCCTAACGGGTGCGTAGGTCTTGGCCAGGCAGGGAGGTTGGCCTGGGAGACTGCAGGTGAAGGAGTGCAGTGAGGGGCCCACCCAGGGAGGGGCGGAAGCACTACACACCTTTCCAGCACACTGTTTCCAGTCTGGGTAAGATGGCACCGTTGTTTTATAGGAAAGAGACTTGAAACCATTCCTGTATCTCCTTACTGCCATCAGTGGATTCTGACTGACAGTGGCCCTGCACAGGGTTTCCGAGGCTGTACGTCTTCATGGGAGCAGAAAGCCTCATCTTTCTCCTGCGAAGCAGCTGGTCGATTTGAACTGCCACCAGGTGTGGTAGTTTAGGATCAGCACTGGACTGCTAAGCACAAGGTCAGCAGTTCAGTCAGCGAGCCACTACGTGGGAGAAAGATGAGGCTTTCTCCCATAAAGACTTAACCATCCTCAGAAACCCCTGGACAGGCTCACGATGAGTTGGCATCGACTAAGTGGCAATGAGCTGAGTATCTACTTAGGAAAATATTCTAACACTATAAATGAGAGTCCTGCTCTGCGGCTATAGGACAAGCACGAACTGCTAACAGCAAGGTCTGTGCTTCAGACCCACCAGTAGCTCCTCAGAAACCCTATACAGGGTCACTTTGAGTTGGACACAACAGCAAATGAAAACGAGCTTTTGTATTATATAAAATAGATGCACCCCTCATCACATACGTGGGGGCTTCAAAAAGTATGTGGAAACATTTCATGATCTCTTAATTTGACTCTTCCATGAACTTTGTAAAGCCCTCTTGTATAAAGTGTTCTTTAATTAAATACAGGACTTGGGGTACATTGACTGCATATGAACCCAGCTGGTAGCAAAGCGCTCCTGTAACAGTATGATTTTCACCAGAATTTCCTTTGATGAGACATTGTTTAGGAAATAACATTTTGGCCACTCAAAAGGAATATATACTTTAACCCATCATTAAAATGTCTGTTTAAATGAGTCCCTTCCTCATTTCCATATACAATAATACTCTGTCATTTCAGCTATTCCCATTACTAGCACTATTGCAGAAGAGATCAATACTCTGCCTAATAAAATTGTTGTTGTTGTTGTTAGGTGCCATCGAGTCGGTACCGACTCATAGCGACCTTATGGACAGCAGAACGAAACACTGCCCGATCCTGGGCCAACCTCACTGCTGTAGCCACACTTGAGTTCTAGTAAAATAGGTATGAAATATTTTGACTTCTGCTCTCTTCAACACAAATGAAAATTAGTTACTCACATAAAACCTAATTCATCCCATTTCTGGAATTGATTGATGTATAAGGCTCTGTTCTCTCTCTGTCTGCCATCCCACTGTGAACAGTGACTGAGCTTCAATCAGTGAATCATTATTAGAAACAGAAGTGTGCAGTGTTTTCTTGTGCTTTGGAAAAGTTCACTTTTATTTTCTTGTGAAAATATTTGTTATGTAGTATATGATAACTAGGTGGTGATGGTGTGCCATGAAGTCGGTTCCAATTTATAGTGGCCCTGTATAGGGTTTCCAAGGCTGTAAATCTTCACGGGAGCAGAAAGCCTCATCTTTCACCTGCAGAACCACTGGTAGTTTTGAACCGCTGACCTTGAGGTTCGCAGCCCAACTCGTAACCACTATGCTACCAGGGCTTAGCTTCTGTTTTTAAAAGCATTCTTTATTGTTTTCACTGTATTTACCCATCATTCTTAAAGGCACTTAACAACAAGGAACTGATTGAAACAGCTGATTTGCAAGAGAATCTCTAAATGACAACTCCAAGTAAACCTTATTATTCAAATACTAATAAATTAGACCTTAAATGAGATGGGAGAAATCCAAAATACTGTAGGATTTAGTTGGTGGGATCCTTGTGCTGAAAGTGGGAGATGGGAGTTCTTGCTTGGTAAAAGCAAACAAGCTTTTATCATCCCTGCTCAGCCTGTACTTGAATCTGGAAAAACCTGGTGATTTCAGTGTCACTTGCTCTGGTAGCATTTACCAGTTTCTTTTCCTTAGTTCTCCCGACTCTTAAGAGTTTAATTGTAATACGAAGGAGCTTCAAAAAGTTCATGGAAAAACTCCATTATCTTTTCATTATTTTTCCTTGACATTTTTTAAAGCCCTGCAAATGTGTTTGGAATTTGTTTTTTTGAAGATGAAAGAAACAGGTTGTAGTCGGTGTCTGTGCTTTGGACACTATCTGATACACTCCTATACTAAGTGGCTTTAAACAAAACTAGTTGCTGCAGTGTTTGCAAACCTGATCACAAAAGCATCTGGCTATTCTCAGGTAGGAGTCCTGGGTGGCGCTGCGGGATAATGCGCTGGATGAACTGCAAGGTCGGTGGTTCAAGGTCACCAGCTGCTCCTCAGAAATCCTATACAGGGTCACTATGAGTCAGAACCCACTCTATGGCGCTTAACAACATCAAATCCTCAATTAACATCAGGGCAAGATACTTTAATATTTTTGACTCTTTAGTCCTTTTATAAATTCCAATCAAGTTCCAATCTGGAAGATGTACCAATAGGTCATCTTCAGAAATAAGAAAAGGGGGAGGTCATTCATCATTTACCTTATTAATACAAAGTTTGTTTCTGTTACAAACGTTTAAGGTGAACACAGCATGGAGACAGTAATGGAAACAAGGAAACCTTACAGGTGTAGTTTTATGATAATACTCAGGATTTGGTAGCATTTTCAACTATCCTGTGGTATTTCAAGTATTTCACATTCTGTAGAGAGAGCTACGCATAGTTTTCTTTCTTTTCATTTATTTTTTCATCTAAAATAAAGTTTCAAATGCCTAGCAGGCACCCCAAAGCTTTTTCCTGAATGCAGTCTGTCATTCTTTACACATAGTCCTTCAGGTGGTATGCTGAGTTTGTCTCCAGCTGGGTGGCCGACATAGTGTTCTGCCACCTGGGCTGGTGGAGCCAAGCTTGTGGCCTCTCTTGTACGTAGGAAGTGCAGAAAATCACACCGGAGACCAACAGCAGCACAGCCGAAATGAATCCCACGTAGACGGCTCCCCCAGGCTCTTGCTTGTTGCTCTCAGGCACCGCCAGGTCCACAAAGTTGGCGATGATCTCCTTGGTGTACCATACCGTGGGGATCAGACCAGAGACCCCTGCCACCTGGAGGCAGACACTAGCTACCAGAGCAGCATGCCTTTTGGTCTTTCTGTCCCCTCCTAGACGAGTGCATGTCATCCCGACTGTGGACGTGCAGGCCCCCAAGGCGGACAGGATGCAGGCCAGCACCATGGCGGCCCGGGCAGCCTGCACATGGCCGGGGAGGGACAGAACGGAGTCCTTGCTGCTACAGCTGAGCACCCCTGTGCTGTACCACGTGCAGTCCAGCCAGAGCCCCTGCAACTGCACTAGGGCTGTGATGATGCCCGAGCCCCTGTCCACGTGCACCAGCCAGTTGGGCAGCAGGGTGGCCGTGAGCACCCCAGACACCCCTGATAAGGCCAGGCCGAAAGCAAAGAGCTGGAGCGCTGCCGAGGCCATGGCGTGGCCTCCTCTGGGTGGGCGCCAAGGTTAGAGACTGCAGGCTGGGGAGAGAAGGCAGAGTTGGGGAGAAGAGTGAGTGAGCACAGGGCCTTATACTGGAGTGCGAGAGCTGAGCACAGAGTCCCCCACAGTGGGCACAGTCCCCGCAGGCTGTGAGAACCAGCAGACATGCCCCACTTCATGCTCCTGGTCACTCAGAGGGGCTGAAGCCGGCATGGCCCTCACCAGGCACCTGGCCTGTTCAGAGAGTAGAAATGAGGAATTCCTGCTATAGATCTGATTAGGAGTCTTAGAAAATAGATTCTCTTTTTCATTACAGTATGGGATAAGGACTGGACTGGTCAGCAGCTCACACCCACCGGGAGCTCTCCGAAACCCTGTGTAGGGTCACTATGAGTTGGAACTGACTCACTGACACACATCCTGGGTTAGTAAGTAGCCCTAGTGGTGCTGTAAGGAGCCCTGGTAGCACAGTGGCTACCCATTGGACTGCTAACCAAAAGGTTAGCAGTTCGAATCTACCAGCCGCTTCACAGGAAAAAGGTGAGGCTTTCTACTGTAAAGATTTACTGTCTCAGAAACCCTACACAGTGTCGCTAGGAGTCGGAACTCGACAGCACACCACCACCACCAGTGGACTGCTAACTGCAAGGTGGGCACACCAACCCTACAGTCACCCCTCTGAAACCCTATACAGGGTCGCTGTGAGTTGGAACCAACTTGTTGGCAGTTAGTGAGTGCATGATAGGTGATTAGGAAGAATAGATTAAACCCCCTCTTTGAAAAATGACCTATAAATAATCTGAGAAAAGCTCTTAAGAATTCAGAAAATTATTCTAACACACAGATATTGATGAAACTCCCACCGTGTGCCAGGCCCATGACCCAGGTGAATTCTCCGCCGAGGAGATGGATCACTGGGTTGATGCTGTCCCTAACAGCCACTTGCAGAGACCTTATCTAAGATAGTGCTTGTTTCACTTCCAGTACAGAGGGAAGTAGTCAGGCCCTGTCTTTGTCTTTGGAGCCACGAGAACCATCAGAATGCTTCCCTAACCCAAATAAAAGCAGCCCCTCTGGGAGAATCAGAGGAGTGCCAGCCATTCTCGACAGTACGTACCAGAAGGAGCCACGTCGTCGGGTAGGTGAAAGGATAGCGTAAGGACTCGAGTGCGTTCTTTTCTGCCTTATTTGAGAGACGGGATGGTTTCTGGAGTGCTACACTCTGGTTGTTTGGCAGCCTTGCTGGTCTAGTGGACTGTCTCTCTCTTGCTTCTAGAATGTTTCTGGAAAGACAGGTGGGCTCTGAATCCAGAACACGTGGGGCAGCCCTGGGCTTACATGGTCTCTTCTTTAAAATGAGGAGTCGGGCCTTTACCACAGGATTAATTAACAGCATGCACCGTAAGGGCTGAGAGCAGGAAGCACTCCTTGCCATTATCTTTTATATTTTTACTTACTTTATATGATGTGACCATTGATAACTAATGACATTTGGTATGATTTTGGTTTGGTTTTGTTCTCTTTTGCTTTTTTTTTTTTGTTTTTTTTACTTACTTTATATGATGTGACCATTGATAACTAATGACATTTGGTATGATTTTGGTTTGGTTTTGTTCTCTTTTGCTTTTTTTTGTTATCAAGTGCTGTGGAGTTTGTTCCAACTCATAACAACCCTGTGTAGGGTTTCCAAGGAGTGACTGGTAAGTTTGAACTGCCGACCTTCGGGTTCAGACTGACCTTACGGTTGATCCAATGCATTATCCTAACAGTGCCACACCAGAACGCCTTAATCCAAAATAGACAGAGTTGATTTTCATAATTGAGATTTAATCTTCGCTGTCATCTTGTCTGTCTTTGTTTGGGGGTTGGGGTTGCCGACAGGAAATCACTCAGGGTCCTCAGTAGCCACACTGGGAGTGGGCAGGGCTTCCTGTCATCCAAGGCTTCCTGGTGAGCTCTTCCCCAGGTAGGCTCCCCACATGCAGCAGATAACACCATTCATTACTTTACCCTGCTCGTACTCAACCAGGACAAAACAAGCCCACCAGGGCTTTATTAGGGCACAAGGCTTAGCTTCAAAGAACTCACATCAGGTGATGTCTGGCTTTTGTCAGGTGTCCAAAGTCAAATCAGTTTATGCCTCTGCTGGAAGTGGAGGCTTTATATAGCCACAACTATTGGTTTTCTAACAAGTTAGACCCTGGACTGTGTGGATTACATTTTCCTACTTTTGCCGTTCATAATCTTAAGAGTCAGGCTTCGCTGTAAGCACTGTATGCTTAGGAAATGCCTGCTTTCATGCCATTTATTTACTTTCTGTTTTCTAAATTTCTTCACATCTCCAGCCCAAGATCGTTTCTAGAAAAAAATTAAGCAGATGTTTACAGTGTTCTAATAACTGTTTTCAAGTTTGGGGTTTGAGCATGTCTGACTCCAACCAGCTTGTTAAATTACTGCCTTCCCAAATTGCTTTCACCTTAGGGATTCTTCAAGAACATTCTGCAGTATTACCTAATGAATTCTTCCTCCCTTCTTTTCTCTCTTTCATTTTCTCTCTCTCTCTTTCTCTTGTTTTCACCTTAGGGATTCTTCAAGAACATTCCTCACCATTCTCTAATGAATTCTTCCTCTCTCTCTCCTTTCTTTCTCTCTCTCTCTCTTTTCTACTTTGGTGTAAAGTAACCTTTAAATGCTCATCAAATTCTACTCAACTTCCCAATTATAACTTTCTTCTTCCCCATTAGCCAGTACGTTTGATAAATCTCAGTATAATTCAGCCTTTCAAATAGCTTATTCGTCATCACTAACAAGTACTGGCAGTGATAAATTACAGACAGCCAAGATCGGATAAACAATCTGACATTGCATTTGGGACGCACAGCACTGATGGTTGAATACTGAGCTTCAAATGCTTTCTGCTGCATAGAGGACGTACCCAGAGAGTTCATTTTCCAAATGAAGACCACTCTTCTGCTCCTTTTGTACAAATACACTGGCATTTTAGCTCTGTGGCTAGGATATCTTTTTATTCTCTCTTCAGTTACAAACATCATACTATTTCTTGGAGAGTAAAGCCATACTTTGTTTAACTGTTTGTGGTGGGGGTGGTAAAGAAATACTGAAAACAAGCAGAAACAAAGAGGGTCTCCTATAAGCACTTTGCTCCTCACAGTACACACAGCAGAGCATGCGAGCATTCCATTCCATTCATGGACTATTTGCCAGCCTGCACTGGATTTCATGAAAATGCAGTCAGAATTTCAGATAAGAATTTCAAGACAAATTTCAAAACTAGTACTAAGAAACAGATATACAACTCATAATTCAAACTAAATAATACTTAAGATCTGTACTTTGTTCTCTAAGCCTTGTGGGAAGTGTCTCATTTTCCATACCTTCTGTCGGTCGTCTTCAAATGAACCCCAATAATGTGTGAGGAAGAACAGCCAGACCCATGTGGCTCATCTGGAGACTTAGTGAAAAAGGTGTCAACAAGGTAACTTGCTCACCTAGACGTCTGAGAGGTAGAAACTGCTGATGGCTCTGGAAGATAAATGCCAGGCTCTCCACCTCCTTTCTTAAGCTGAGCCCAGGGAGAGTTCAGAAAGGAGGGCCAGGGGCGGGGAAGGGAGGGAGTTGCCATTACAACAGAGTTTGTTGACACCCGGAAGCTGAAATGCCTTTATGTCATTATATACAGAGGACGGCTTATTGGGGCACTCACAAAATAGCCTGGCTTTGTTTAATACCTTTTAGACTTAGAGTTATAATTTATTTTTTGATGTTTTATCTCTTGTTGGAAGATACAGTTTATTATTTTATGTCCTCAAATGAAAGATTGCGGTCTGGAATATTAAGTAAACTGTGCTGTCTGCAAATGATAGTTGAGACCATCTTTTTATTGTGCTGCTTTGTTGGCTGGGTCATAACCAGGATTCACAAACTTGTAACTTTCTTCTTTTCAAAATAAACCGTCAGAAGATTGTTGTTGTTGAGGGCCATCAAGTTGGTTCTGACTTATAGCGACCCTGTACAGAGTTTCCGAGGAGCAGCTGGTGGATTTGAACTGTCAACCGTACGGTTCAAACCAACCTTGTGGTCAAGTGCTTATCCTACAGCATCACACCAGGACTCCTTCAGTTTATATAGTTTATAAAAACTTTTTTTTTTAATGAAAATCCAGAAACAATTGTTGATTAGAAACTGATCAGTTAAATCTTCAGGTTGCTTTTGGGGTACCCTGCATTTTCTTCATTGTTCCTTCCTTGGAAAATGTTTCCTGAAGTCTCCCTTACTAAATAGAGCCGTTAGAAAATGTCATGAAGAAATGACACCAAAATGACGCGATGACACATGTCAGAGGAAACATACATTGGACTTTAAACCGTAGGCTGGTGTGATCTATAGTCAATGTGGAGCGTTCTTACTGACCCTCTCTGTTGTTTACATTGTGCTCTAAGGTCGTTCAAGACCCTGTGTGGTTAGCATAAAATAACAGGTACATGGAATGCAGAAGCAGGGTGGCTCCAAATGATAAGCACTGGACTGCGAACCACAAAGTCAGTGAGTGGCTCAAGCCCACCAGCCCCTCTTCAGGAAAAAGTTAAGGCTTTCTGTTCCCGCAAAAGATTTGAAAAGCCTCAGAAACCCTAAACAGGGTCACTATGAGTGGAAACCAACTCTGTGGCACTTAGCAACAACATCAGAGAATGTTGGTTTCAGTCAAACTCCTGTGAGTTTTGCTCAGGGTTCTTTAAAACACTGTCAAGTAGAACTGAACTTAGAACATTTAGCTACAAACCATGAGTAATTGTTCCGACAGAATTCACACGACGCTCCTCTGGATTCTCATTATTTTCTTCCTCAGTAACTGTCATTCTGACCAGTGGCCATCACATCAGTGGAGATTTTCTTCTGCTGCGCTATAGAATAAGTGCTAACCGTAAGGCCGAGTTGAACAGCAAGGTTGGTGGTTCAAACACACCAGCCATTCC